TGAATAATTACATTTATGAATTATTGAAATGAAGGGTTCAAGTTCCAGACAATTTCATTTTATTTTTAGGAAGTCTGAAGTTTCTTAAATCACCTCTCCATGACCTGTTTTCCAGGGTTAATATTCTTTTGATATCAGTTATTCATGTGGTCCTTGTAGAAAATCCAAATTTCCCTTTGATTCACTGCTACTAACTATTACAGAATTTTTCTTTTGGAGGATCTCTAGAATTGCAATATTTTTTGATATTTGTCTGATTTTTTCATTTTTCCAGTGTTAGTTCCTGAATTGGGGTTATGTGCCAGAGCTAGGCTTTGCTCCCTGTTGTGCTTTTGGTTCAGGATAGGCCTATATTTCTCCTGCTTGGACCCCTGGGTTTCTACTTTGACCTCTATATCCCAGAATTAGCTGCCTCGCAGATCTTTGAGATCTGGTAGAGTGCTGGATCTTCAGGGCTTTGTCTGGGATTTTAGGACAGAGTGCTAGGGACCTCAGAGGCCTGAACCTGGGATATTAGAGACAAAGCAACTGCTACATTGTACTGGTCTTTGCTCTCTGCCCTGGAGTTTCCCAGGGCTTTCATAGATCACAGACACAGCATTTCTGATCACTCTGGATCTTTATCAGGAGAGCACTATACTAAAGTTGCCTCTGGTCACTTAGTATGGTAGACAACATGGGTTCCTGGACCATGCTGTGAGGCTACCTTATGCTGGAGCTCATTTGCAGGAGGCTCCCTTTCCTATAGTCTTTGGATTTCAGTCTAATCTCTTTTACAATTCCAGGGTGAAAAAAATTACTTATTGTAGTTTCCTATTGGATTTCTCTATCATTATTTGGTTGTGTACCAACTCCAGCACTTTGATGGAGTGGATACAGAGGGAACAGGGTGGTTTGCCTGCCCTGCAGGCATCTTTCAGGAATAAGAGACTTTTACTAAGTTGCATACCTAAACTGTTACAGTGATCAGCTTTTCTATTTTTAAACCATTCTGAAATAGATTCTGTTAATAACTGCTTTGTAGTATATTGTAGTTAGATGTGATACCACTAGACATCTTTTCTTTGTGCTTTTCCTTCCCCATGAGAACTTTTTAGATTATTGATCTTTTGTTTATGCAAAAGTATTTTGATATTTTCTTCTAGCTCTATTAAATAGATTCTTAAACATGTGTCATGGGCCATTTTGTTAGTCTGGTAAGTCCTTTAGCAAGCTGTTGACTAGTTCATTGTGATTTTCTTGCATCACTCTCATTTTTTTGGGGGGGGCTAGGCAATGGGGTTAAGTGGCTTACCCAAGGTCACACAGCTAGTTAGTGTTAAGTGTCTGAGGCTGGATTTGAACTCAGATCCTCCTGACTTCAGGGCTGGTGCTCTATCCAGTGTGCCACCTAGCTGCCCCAATCACTCTCATTTCTCTTCCCAGTTTTTCCTCTACTTCTCTTACTTGCTTTTCAAAATCCTTTTTGAGCTCTTCCATAGCCCGGGACTGATTTATATTTTTCTTGGAGGCTTTGGATGTAAGAGCTTTGACTTTGTTGTCTTCTTCTGGTTATATGTTTTGATTTTCTTTGTCACCAAAGAAAGATTCTATGGTCTGACTTTTTTGTGCTATTTGCTCATGTTCACAGCCAATTACTTGACTATTAAACTCTTTATTAAGGTAGGGGTCTGCTTCCAGTGTGGAGAGTGTACTGTCCCAAGCTTCGGGGGTTTTGTGCAGCTGTTTTCAGAGATACTTGTAAGGACCTATAAATTTTTAGTTCTTCCAATTTGGTATGATCAAAGACAAGGTGTTTACTCCTCTCCTGGCCGGGGCTCTGGTCTATGAGTGATCACAAGCATTATTTTCTGCCTTGGAACTGTGAGGATGATTCCCTCTCCACTGCTGGCACAAGCTCCACTATGCCAGCACTCCTCCTTACCCCAGGACCTCCACCCAGAACTGTGACTCAGATCCAAGCAGAGGCAAAGCAAGAGAATCCTACCTCAGCACCAGCAAAGAGATCCCTGCAATTCCTCTCTGATCAGCTGCTGAATTCCCCCCTCCATCTGTGGGCCAAGAGGTCCAGAAGCAGCTACCACCCTGGGGCTGCACAAAGACTGCGTCCAGACCAAGCTTTTCTCTCACCAAGGTCCAACAGACCTTTTGTACTGCCCTTATAAGTTGACTTTGGTGTTTGTTGGTTGAGAAGTCTGGAAACCACAGATGCCCATGATTCAGTACCCTGAGGCCTGCTCCAGTTTGCTGAGGCCCTGTCTTTGCCTGCACAGCCCACGCTGAACTACGTTCCTCTGCCAGTCTGGTGTAATAGATCTTTCCAATCAACCATCCAGGATGTCTTGGGCTGGAAATTTGTTTCACTCTGTCTTTTTGTGGGTTTTGCTGCTCTAGAATTTGTTTAGAGCCATTTTTACAGATATTTGGAGGGGTTTGGGGGAGAGCTCAAGCAAATCACTGCTTTTACTCCACCATCTTGGCACCACCCCCAGCTTCTTCCTAAATCAACAGTTTCTTTTTCTTGTCATAGTGATATAACTAGCATTTCTTTTTAAAATTTTTATTTTTTTAATTTTTAATTTATGGAATAAAACAAGCATTTCCATAACATAGTATAATAAAAAGATTATTGCACCTGAAACTTCAAATCTAGTATTCACAACTTACTATTCATTTTGAATGTATAATAAAGGTTTCTTGTAAGTTTCTTTTTCCCCTTTTTTTCTTCCCTCCTCTCTTTCCAGCCCTAGAGATGGCTACCCTTGGACACAAATATGTGTCTTTATGCACACACATACACACAAATGCATATATGCAAAATTATTCCATAGATTGTTCTCTTTGTCAATTCTTTCTCTGGATACAGATAGCATCTTCCTTTGTATATCCTTTGTAGTTAATCTGACTACTTATAATAGTCAAAATGACTTATACACTCAAAGTTGTTCTTAAAACAATATTGCTGTTACTATATACAATGTTCTCTTGTTTTTGTTCATTTTGCTCTTCATTATTTCATGCAAGTCTATCCATGTTTTTCTAAGATCATTAAGCTCATTATTTCTTAAAGCACAGTTTTATTCCATCACAATCATATGCCACAACTTGTTCAGCCATTTCCCAATTGATGGGTAATCCTATAATTTCTAGTTCTTTGCCACCACAAAGAGAGTTGCTATAAATATTTTAGAACATATATGGTCTTTTTCTTTTTCCCTAATCATCCTTGGAAATAGACCTAGTGGTTGTATCATTGAGTAAAACGGTATAGGCCGTTTAATAAGTCTTTGGACAAAATTCCAGATTGTGCTTTAAAATGGTTGGATCAGTTCACAATTTCACCAACTATGAATTAGTGTCCCAATTTTTCCATATCCCCTCCAATATTTATTACTTTCTCCTTCAATCATTTTAGCTATGGCTAGCATTTCTATAATGATATCAAATAACAGTGGCGAGCAAGGCCTTTCTTGCTTTATATCTGATGCTATTGAAAAGGCCTTTACCATTTCTCCATTATGTAATGCTAGTTCTTAATGTCACATAGAAACTATTTACCATATTAAAGAAAGTTCCATTTATTCCTCTACTTTGCAATGTTTTTCACCAAAAAAAGGGTTGTATCTTGTCAAAAACTTTTTCCTTGGGGCAGGTTGGTGGCACAGTGGATAGAGCATTGGCCCTGAAGTCAGGAGGACCTGAGTTCAAATCCGGTCTCAGACCAAACACTTGGCACTTACTAGCTGTTTGGTGCCGGGCAAGTCACTTAACTCTAATTGCCTAAAAATTTTTTTAAAAAACTTTTCCTTTATTTATTACTATAACCATATGATATTGCTTTTATTATCAACAAAATCCATTTTATTTATAAGTTTCCTAATATTGAGCTAATGTAGAATTCCTGGTATAAATCCAGATTCTATTCTTCTTTGAAACAATCTTCCTACAGCTTGCTTTAAGTCCTCTCATTATCCTCATTAGCATAATCTGGATATACTCCACTTTAGAATTTCCCCTCTTAAAATGATGCATTCAGTACAAAGCATAGTTCTCCAGATGCAGTCTAATAATGATAGAACACAATGTCATTAAAACCTTAAATAACTTTAACTCTGTTTCTAATAATACTAGGTTAAGATTAGGTTAAAGAGGCAGGATCCCTTAGTAAATATGAAACAGCCTCATTGTCAAGAAATTTGGCTTTGTGACTTGGGTCAAGTCACTTAACTCATCCATGTCCCTGGGCAACATTTATGTAAGACAATATATCTTACAGTATTTGCCAGTCTTCATTGGTAGAGAAGATTTCATTAATTGCAGTTCCCTACAATGACAAAATGATAGGTGTATACTATATTTAAAAGGTCATGTTAACTTTTATATGCATCTCTCAATTAGATTTCAACAGCTTGATTACATTTCTTTATTGCCATCCATCCTTACACCACAGATTGCTCTGTTCTCCAAAATCCAATGCATAATTTCTAGGGCTTTGCAAATTCCACATTGATAATACTCTTCCCTGAGTTTTCCTTAGTATCAAAACTCCAGCCAAATCTATAGAGATTGATGCATCACCACAAACTTCTCTCAGTAATTGAATCATTGTAAGGTTGTACAATAAATATAATATACACATATATATACACACATAAACATACACACACACACACACACATATATATATATATTATATATATATATATATATATATATATATATATATATATTTACAGAGGCAAATAGATGGTACAGTACCGATTCTTGTGATCAGGAGAATCATCTTCAAGAGTTCAAATCTGTCTTAATAGCTATGTGACCTCAACTATATGTGTGTGTGTGTGTGTGTGTGTATAGATGTATATGAATGAAATAAAAGGACAATATTTTTTCATGTATTCTTTAATACCAGTCACAGGGAATGGTCATTTTCTGCCAGGGGGCTAAATGATAAGGGTTGCAGTTAAGAGATGTGGTCAAATGTAGTTATATCACAAGAATCAAGATTCCTTCCCATTTACTGAATTTCTGAATGCCCTCATTACATCCTTATTCCTCAGGCTGTAGATGAGAGGGTTAAGCATAGGGTTTATGACACCATAGAATACAGCAACATGCTTGATCTGCTCCCTTGAGGAGTTGGATGTCATGTAGGAAATTATTAGTGTACCATAAAAAAGGGTGACCACAAGGAGATGGGAGCCACAGGTAGAGAATATTTTGAGTCTTCCTGAGGTTGTCTTCATCCTGATGACAGTCACTATGATAAATCCATAGGAGACCAGGACCAGAGACACAGGTACAAGAAGAATCACTACTCCCATGAAGAAAATGGCTATTTCTGCTTTATGAGTGTCTCCAGTTGCCAGAGTCAAGAGAACTGGAGCATCACAAAAGAAGTGAGCAATCTTATTGTCTCCTTGGTAGGGGAGGCATACTGTGAATATAGTGTCAACTGAGGATGCTACAGTGCCACAGATCCAGCACCCCAATGCCAATTGGGCACATATTCTCCCTGTCATGATGACAGAGTAATGCATGGGGTCACAGATTGCCAAATACCGATCATAGGACATCACAGCTAACAAGGAACACTGTGTAGCTCCAGAAACAATGGAAAAAAATATCTGAGCTGCACAGCCCTTAAAGGAAATGACATTCTTCTTCATTAACATGTGGACTAGGGCTTGGGGAACAATGGAAGTAGAGATACCAAGGTCAGCCAGAGATAAGTTGCAAAGAAAAAAGTACATGGGTGTATGGAGCTGTGAGTCAGTTATAACCAAGTAGATGAGGAGTAAGCTCCCAAGCACAGTGCCTAAGTAGACTGCCAAGAACAATACAATGAGCAGCAGCTGAGTCTGAGGGTCATCAGAAAGACCAAGAAGGAGAAATTCTGTCACCCAAGTACAGTTGTTCTGGTTCATTTTTGATATTCCTATTTCTTTTGAAAGCAACCAACAGATACTTGATGTAGGGATATAACCTTAGTATCATTGAATCTTAGATTTGAAAGGGACCTGAGATGTCATCTGGTCCAATCTTCCACCAAACCATCAACATCCACCATCATAATATTTCCAAAAATCCTTTTCACTGATGAGTGATGAACCCTAACAGAAGAAAGCCATTTTGTTGTTTGACAGCTCAAAACATTAGAAAATATTCCTTTATATAATAAGCCAATGTTTACACATATCATGGTGCAGTAAAGAGGATGTGACTTTGCTAATTTCTGAATGGTATTAACAGGCATAATTTTGCTGTCAGACAATGGCAAAGTTCCAAGGAGGAGACAAAAGGATCAGGGAAGTATCTATTGGAACATCAAGGAAGAATGGTCATGGTCATCTCTGCCTTTAGCTTCCTTTCCTATCATTTGTATTTATGTGTTTGATTGGTAATTGGTCAAAAAGTCTTAATACAAATAATACTAGTGGAGGACTAATAGTTAATGATCACCCCGCTTCTCTCTTCTCCTACTTAATACTAATCTACCTTCTTACACTTTATGCTCTGTGCTAAACCACTCCTCCTCCCCCTGCCACAACAAATTCTGCAATCCAATGACAGTGACCTCCTTAATATTGTTCAGATGAGAAACTCCATCTCCCATCTTTGGGAGTTTTTCATTGGCAGTTTCCCATGACTGGGAATACTCTCCCTCCTCATCTCTACCTTCTGACTTCCCACACTTTCTTCAAGTTCCAAATAAGATCCCACATTCTGCAAGAAGCCTTTCCTGATCCTCCCTTAATTTTAGTGCCTAGCATCTGTTAATTATTTTCAATTTTTCCTGTATCTAGCTAATTTGAATATAATTATTTACATATTGTTTCTTACTTTAGACTGTGATTTCCTTGAGATCAGGGACCCTCTTTTGTCCATTCATCAATAACATTTATTAAGTGCCTGCTATGTGTCAAGCACTGTACTAGGTGCTGGGGATACCAAGAAAGGCAAAAGACAATCCCTGCCTTTAAAAAGGTCACAATCTAAAGGGGGACACAACATGTAAACAACTATAGACAAACAAGTTATATATAGGACTAATAAATAATCAATGTAGGGAAGACCTTAGAATTAAGAGATATTTGGAGTGGCTTCCTGTAGAAGATGGGATTTTAACTGAGACTTGAAAGAAGCCAGGAGATAGGGATGAGGAGATAAAGCATTCCATGTGTCAGATACAGCTAGTGAAAATGTCCAGCTTTTCTCAGGACACAAAAAGGAAGTCGATGTCACTGGATTGAAGAATATATGTGCATAAGAAAACTGGAAAGGGAGAAAGAGTCTAGGTTATGAAGGGAATTGAACACCAAACAGAGGATATCATATATCATATTGGGGGTGATAGGCAACCAATTGAGTTGTTGTGTAGGGGTATCACATGGTTGACCTTCACACTGTAGAAAAAACAATGTGCCTGACAGAGTAATTGCTTAATGCTTTTGACTGAGCTGACAAGTCATCTCAAATATTACCTGCTACCTGATGGTTTTCTTGACACCCCTATTTGGTAATGACTTTTCCCCTCTACCTTCATATATAACTTTGTTTTGTAATAATCACATAAAATTGTGTATTACGTATTTCCTTTTTAGAATCTTACCTGTTTAATGAGTAAAAGATCCTAGAGGGAAGAGACTGTGTTTAATCTACATTTTATGTTCCCTCAACTTTTAGATACTGTTCTGCTCGAAGTAAATATATAACTAATGTTTGTTGAATATTTAAATCATTGATATAGGGCTCTGGCCTCAATTTAATGAAGAGCTGAATAAATACTTCTGAAACCATTGCTTATCCTCAAGGAAGCTCTATGGGTGAATTTCAGAGCAGGGCCCCCCAAAGTTTGCCACTTCCTCAGTGACACTAGATAAGCTGGGAAAATAGCTAAAAGAAATTCAAGGGGTTATGGCATAGATTATATCACTGAAGAAGAACCTCACCCAGGATCTGTGGCTACTCCATCAGTGCCTCCAGCTGTAGTCTGCGTTGTTCTCCTTACCCATATTACAGGGTTAGTAGAAACAAACAGTGGCCAGGCAGGATGATGGTGAATTATTGTTTAAGATCCTCCAAGGTTTGATTCCAACAAATCTCAATATGTATGGTAGCCTTTGTTACTGATAAATTTGAAAGTATTGCTCTGAACTGAGGTATTTCCTCATGGAGAGGGAGTGTTCCCTTTGGGGAACTTACCAGTATGTCACTACAGAGTCTATGTGGAGTTTATGATAGTTTCTACAAAATCATCCTATGACACATAGTTTAGTGGAAAGTGCACTGGATTTGGAATCAGAGATGTTCAAATTTCCCTTTGCTACTTATTGCTCATGTGATCTGGGGAAAATCACTTGATGTCTCTTTACTCCTCACTTGCAAATGAAAGAGAAAAATTTACATCTTTCATATGGTGATCCTTTCTTGGGCATTTAGCAGAGATTAACTATATCATTGAATGTTTATGCTTTCCTGTATGATAGTTTTTAAAGTGTAACAGAAATTTTGGGGACTCCAGAGGAAGGACTTTCATGTATTTAGGAGTTGAATGTACTTATCTATTCCCTTCCATGGTTGTGGTGATCTGCAAATATTTTTTGAAATGATACATAATATATGTATCCACTCCCTTGCATCCTATTTCAAAACTAGGGTTGGTATTCAAATATATATGAGTATGTGTATGTATGTATGCATGCATATATGTATGTTTATATACCCTGTTCAGTAATTATCTTCTTCATGGCGTTCTCTATTTTCTTTTTTTCTTCCTCTTCCCTCTTCCTTTTCTCTCCTATGATTTAATCTTTTTCTCTCTCCCCCTCATTCCTTTCCTGTCCTCTTCTCTTGCTCTGTCTCCTCCTCCTCTTTCTTTTCATTTTCTTCTTCTTTCCCTTTCTTCCACCAACTCCTACTTCTCCTCTCCTCCCTCCTCCTCTGCCTCCCCTTCCTCTTCAGGGTCTCTATCCTCTTCATCCTCTCCTACTCTAGCTCCTTCTCTTCCTCCTCCACTGCTCCTCTTCCTGTTCCTCCTCCTCTTCTTCTCTCTGCTGGCCTTTGCTGATTAAGTTATCATAGCTTCAGTACCTAATCTGAATGCTACCCTCTTGGACTCTTCTTCTGGTGTAACTATAATAGGAATGTCCAGCAAAAGGGAGATGGCTTACTTAATACCACTCCCCTCTTGGTAAATCTTTCTACATGAAATAATTTAGTATCCCAGCACACAAAGGACTTTGGGGCTTCAGTCTGTATCCTTTTTCCCTCTTGCTATTCATGAATATCTAACATCTGTAGCAATTTTCCAAATCATACTTTTCTTTTTGCCAAACCTTGACAAAACCAGTAAGCTGGACTTAAAAGCAGAGAACCCACCAGCTTAGATAGGACAGTAGCATAAACAACAGTCAACCAAGAAGTGGAACTGAACTAAAGCTCAGGGAAATTAGACCAGTGGAGAGAGAAATGTACTTTTTAGCTAGAAGAGAAAAGGTCTCCAGGTCCCAGAGAAAGTGAGGCAGAAGCAAAATTAAACTCCATGGTCTGACCATCTTTGATGTGTTTTTATCCCATGATTCTCTTGAGCCTTCGTTTCCAGTCCCCTCTTTATCCTGGACATTTTATTCACCAGTTGGCAATGTTCTCCCAAAAACTCAGGAATTAACAAAATGTTATAGATATTACACAAAAAGGAGGGATGTGGAAATGTCTATTGTGGATGTGGAAATATCTATTTCCTTAACAGGGTTATGGTTGGGTTTTTTAATATAGAATCAAATAGCATTCACTTCTTTGGCTTTTATGTGAAATTACTCATTCTTTTTGAACTTGTCATCAATCAAACCTCAAGTTCTTTTTTTTTTAAATAAACTGTTATATAACCATAGCTACCCTCATACTGTAAAGATAATTTTTAAAAATTATCCTGGCAAAGGATTTATCATTTCTGCATATTAAATATTATTTCATTACCATTAAGGTAAACCCATAATTCTAGTCTACCTAAAATTTCAAGAATCTGTAACAAGGAATCTACCAGTTTTATTCATTCATTCAACCAGTACCAATGGCATCATGCTAGATATTGAGCAAAAATCTTGGTATACTTCTACAATCATTCAAGAGCAAAACAAGAACTATACAACAGGGGCTAACAGTCTCCTTAGCCTTTCTGAAAAATAAATAAAACTAATTTGGGGTCTTCTCTACTTAAAGAAGCCACATTAGCTCTCAGTGACTATTTCTTTCTTAAATATTCACAAACAAATCTTTTTTAAAAAAATATGCTTTGGAATTTCATCTGGATTAAAAGGGAAGCTCTATTATGTCTACTTTATGTATTCTCTTTTTTTGAAAATTGGAACAGTATTTTCCTTCTTCTGACCCTCTGGACCTCCTCCACAATACTAGGTTATAGAATTTAATGAAATAGAATAGTAATACAGAAATACGAACAAACAGGCAGGCAAATTCCATTCTGAATTAACTTTCAAAAACATTTAACCTCAGTTAACCTAAACATTTACATTTCAGATTTGCAAATATGGACAAAAAGTACTAAAATATACTTTTTTGAGGACAGTTCCTGTTTCATTTTTTCACATTGTATCTGCAACATCTAACAGTGCATGACACATAACAGGTCCCTCAGTTAGTGTTGATTTGTTGCAGAAGATAATGATGGGCCCAAAATATTGACCTACAATTCATATGAGTTGAAATAAGTGTCCCCACCAGTGGAAAGAAGCCCCACATCAGGTTATAGATTGTTGAAATAATTATCTCCCTGCATGCAATACCCATATTAGGAGTCATGGAACCCTGTCCCCAAGCTTCTCTTCCACAATAATGTAGATCATTTGACTATGCAAAGGAACATTTTTGCCTTGAATTTCATGGGTGCCTCCTTATTAATTAATAT